AAAAAAATCACAGCTCCTGTTTTTTCTGTTTCTGGGGATGTCAAGTGAGTTTCTCTGTTCCCACGTCACCAAGGCGACGTTGTGCACATTTCCTCCACTCAAGAGAATAACTGAACAAAAAGGGTCTTGAAGCAAACCTCCTGCTTTAGCAGAAAATTAGCAGAGAGCAGTACTGATGCTGCGTTTTTCTCAATGAAGGATCAACATTTAGTCCATTTAGGGACTTCCGTCCTCGCCGAGAGAGGACGTGAGATGGAGGGAACAGAGAAGAAAGGAGGGAAACGGGATACTTTGGTCTGAGTGGGCACCTGCTGTCTGTCACATTTAGACCTGAAATCAGCTTGTCACCACGGGTTACCACCTGTTGTTATTATGGGCTGTCAGTGAGAAGGGTTCACGCTGTAAAAGGATGTTAAAAAGTCAGCGATGACATTTACGGGTGGCTGCTGAACGTTGTTTTGTGTGCTGAGTCTCCATAACTGAGCTGCTCTGTCATAAACAACGGTCAGAAGTAAATCCCACCACTGACAGCCAGCTGCGTAACACAGTCATCTTAAATTATCTTTTTAAGTGGTCACTCCGTCTTTGATCCTAGTCGGCTGCCCGGACCACCTCAACTGGATCCGTTAGATGTGGAGGAGCAGGGGCTACTCAAATGACTGAGCTCCTCACGCTGTGTCTGAGGGAGTGCCCAGCCACAAGTAGGTGGAGAGTATCTGTAACCTCGCTCTTTTGGTCACCACCCAGAGCTCGTAGGTGAGGAAGCAACGTAGATTGAGCGGTAAATGGAGTGTTGGGTTATCTCCACAGTGACTTTGATCAGCAGCACCTTCACTGACATGACGAGGAAGCGGTGCCGACCCATTTATTTGGGGAAGGTGATGGCGTGAAGTGACACTTTTCAGCCGTGCTAACTTGAAAAGGATTTTTCTGTTAATCAGGTGGATTTTTAACAGGAGACCATTAAAAATCATATCGTATAATATCATTTATTGATGATTGACTGAGAGAAAACACTGGATTCAGAATCTCAGTAAAGTGTCTGCATCACTTTTTGCAGCGTGGAGATATTTCCAGATGCTAATAGAAGGTTTGCCCCCACCAACTGTTGCCGCGCCGACCAGCCAAAAACAGAGATGTGCTGAGCAACTGGTTGCCAAGGCGACCGCACTCTGGCAACTCTTAAGTTCTGGGAGGCTGACGGTGAAAGCAGCAGCACGCCGTTCCACAACTTTTTTTTATGGTCCTTTCGCCTCCTCCTCCACCACATTTCCCTCGACTCCAACCTCTCCGTCCTTTTATCTCCATCTTCACCTTCTCTTTCACTGCTGTTTAAGTTTAATATTTCTAATTCTACGTGCACTTTTCCTCCCTCCATCTCTGCATTTCTCTCCCACTTGGCTGAAGTCGCTCTAAAAATAAAAGCCTCTCAGACGCTGATTGATTGGAGGCTCTCAGGACTCCCGTGGTGGGCGTCAGAGAGCGAGAGCGAAGGAAAAAGGAGCGAGTGAAGTAAAGACAGAGAGAGAGAGAAGAAAATGAAGGTTTGCAGGGAAGGTGATGGAGATGTAAAGGACAGAGGGTGAAATGGAGTTGTAGTTGCAGTACTTTGCTCTGTCCGTGTTGTGTTGAGTAACAGAAGATGGAGAGACAGGAAGGAGGGACAGGCAAAGAAAGAAATGGAAAAGAGAGCGAAAGGATGAAGAGCGTAAATTATTTTATATCATCATGTGAAGTTTGTCGTTCTAACTCTAATGCTCCAGGCAGGCATGCCACTGCCAGTCTCTTTGTATCCTGAATATAATAACTATAAAGGCTTTTCATTTCATATCTCATTATGTACCTGCGTTTGACTTTTAGTTACATGTGCAGTAAATCGTACAGCGTTGTTGAAATGCTGGAGTAACAGCAACAGAACATCATTTTTATCTAATTATGAAAACAAGCAAGTGACACGCAGCCGCAGTTAACCCAGTGGTTTAATGCTTAAACTGAACTAGGAGACAAATTTATTTCATCAAATCAAATCTGTGCTGTATTTGACTTAAACGTGCGTCTCTGAGGACCAAATGATTTGCTCCACCACGAATCTCTGCAGCCTCCAAATATGGACTTTTTTTGCCTTATAAATGTGGAAAATGTTTATTGTGTCTAAACAATGAATTTGCAACAGTTTAAATGTTTAGTGGTAAATACATTTTAAAGAATTGATTGGAACATTGTATGTGTCTGATGTGTGATTTGATTTACAATCCTCACATATAATGATACGTGGTGTTAGGGCTGTTCGATGTAATGATATATATCGATGACGATATAAAAACGTCTATCGTTTGTTTCGTGGTGTCGCAAAATAAACTGTTTACGGCAATATTTTTAATCGTTTTGATGGTCACTGTAGTTATTATTAATTTCTTAAAGTTCTCTCTTTCTCTTATATTTAATATAACCACACTACAGACGGACAAGCGCCTGTTTTTATGCGTTGTCGTTAGCAACAACGACGGTAGCACCATCGCGTGTCCGCTTGTTTATGTTCCACATAAACCTTTCACAATAAAGCTCAAGATCCTGTTGAGACTTTTCAAAATAAACTGAATCACGTGAAAGAGCAGATTATTTACGGATGAGAAGTAAAAAAGACGCCAGGTGCTAAAAAATAAACCTTAGAGTCAAACGTTAGAACAGGCTTTTCCCCGCAGCACGCCGTGTAATAAATACTCACAAAGAAAACGGCGGCTGTTACAACTTATGTCTAAAAATCGTTTCATGCATCGGTTAAAACACTCGATTCCAGCTACATGATGCGCAGCTGGAAACACTTCACGCAAGTCGAGCTGCCCGAGATTCACAGAAGTTACAGAAAATGTTACATTGTTGTGATTTATATCGTTATTGGACGATAGATGTCTTATATCAGGATATGAGATTTTGGTCATATCGCACAGCCCTACGTGGTGTCACAAACAATGGCAGTAAGAAATATAGTGAAATAGCTCTATAAAAATATTTTTACTTTGACCTCGGTTGATGTCAGCCAAATTTGAATCCATTGTTAAGAGTCCACTCTACATCCCCCACAGTTTTATCAGAATTCATTCAACTGGTCCCTCTTTTGACCAATGGTTAAATGATGTAAAATCAAGTTTAGATCTTGAGAAGCTGACCTGTGTGGTTAGGAAAAGATCACCAGAATTTTTTATACATTTGGAAGATGTTTCTGGAGCCCGTTCTCACTCCCGAGGCGTAACAACCTGATGATTTGTCACGTCCCGCAGCGTT